CTGCCATAGCTCCGAACCGCTGATATTTAACTAGCTTCATCTAGCCTCTGACTCAGACTCCAGTGAACCCCAAGACAACATCACTTGACCCCTGGGTAATTGACATTCCCGTACATGGCAGTTCAAGGGGCCCGTCTCGGCAGAGGCTCGACCATTTGAATGCTGGGCATGCAGCATGAAGATTTCGCTGAGAGAAACTGTCCCAAGATGTCTCAACGTGTGCACCCCAACATGTTGATCCAAAAATGCTCACGTCAAGCAGAAACCCAAAGATTTGGAATCTAAAACCATCAAACCTTGTCTGATTGGCAGTTGGAGCATGTTGGAGCCATCCCAAGCATTAGTATCGCAGGTAGGGTTGATAAACATATGACACCCGAAACTTGCAGATACGGACTTGTTAAACCCCTCTTTCCCGGAATCACCTTTTATGAATTATGAACCTCCAAAAAACCTGTAGCGCTCTGCAGCTGTTCGGGGACCAAGACTAGCACCCGGAGATTACCCTCAGCAAGCTTAGAGACATCAACAGGCTACATGAAAATTGGGAAACCTAATCCTATTGATGATGTGCAGAATTTTCTTGGTTCTCATACCACGAGATTCCATGCTAACAGATTCACACAGTCAAATTTCAAGTGGCAAAGGAATGTGCCACTCCAGTCGCAAGCTTGTGGTCTGGAGTCGTGAAACAGAATGCGAAAACCAAACTCTTAGATATTCCTTGGGGCCCAAAATTGATTTCGCAATAGAAAAGAGTTAGAACGTATTAGAAATGTGTAGCCTTCAGCCAATACTGGGAGATTTTGAACCAGGACACGGTCTCCAAACACAAAGGCCAACTGCTTGAAGCGTGCATAAAGGGGTTGAAGTCAGATCTGGCTGACAGCCATTCACCAACCCAAAACAGACATCAGTGCAGTGCAGGTTTGCCAATTATGTTTTTTCATGTTCTTCCTTTTGTTCCTATACTTTCTGTAGATCTGACCAGCTCCCCCAACGCGACCACCTCAGACTCTTGACTGCATGGCCGAGGCCGAGAAGCGAAGGTGCAGTTGGCACCCAACCCGCTCTCAGGTCAAAGCTCATTGCGGAGGCTGGGGGTTGGAGAGGAACAATGGCCCGAACTTTGAGATGATTGGAGTTATGCTTGGGGCAGATTGGCCATGGTCTTCCAAAAAAACGGTTGCCCCACCTTCTGCAAGCACACCCTTCTAAGATGAAATCATGTCATTATCAATCCATATCGATCCTTTTGAGATATAGATTATATAATAATGATTACTGTAATAATTACATTTAAATACACTACCAAACCACCATGTTGCGGCAAAGATCAAATCGTGTTTTTGGCATTCGACGAAAAGAAACAAGACAGCTGCTAACAGGCGATGCATAGCCGGGGCTATATCTGCTATGCTGGGAGAACTGTTGAAAACTGTTTCGAAGACTTAGTACCGAAGCATCAACACGCAAGAAGTTATTTCAAAAGCTTATAGAGTAGTATAGCATCAAGAGCATGTTAGTAGTTGTTTCAGCAAGTTTGTGAGGCCGCATGCGGAATGTGTTGGTAGTTGTTTGAGCAAGTTCGTAGCAAAGCACCCACAGAGTGAATAATTGCACATGGACGCTCATAGCCCGCCTCACCCCATCCCAGCCACACCACCTGGTAATCAGTAACCGTAGCATCAAGAACGTCTTGAACTTATTTGGCTATATGTGGCGTGCTGATAGGGTACCAGGACCAGGAACATTAATAAATCAATAGCCCGCCACATCCCGCAACACGTTGATTTTACGAGCACTGCATACTCTCTTTGCCACGCTGAAGTGGACAACATTAACTTTGAGGCAAATAAACCAACCCGATGTTACACACACACAAACACATAATGTATATATAATAACTATATATAATAACAATAATAACAATAATAACAATAATAACAATAAAAACAATAATGCCAAAAATAATAGTAATAACAACAATAATAATAATATGTGCTTTTATACACATTTTTTTAATCTATTTATTAATATTTTATAGCCCTTGAACTGGGTTCATGCTTGGGTTCCGCACATTACATGGTACACAGGCCAGAGCTGGGCTTTCAGTTCCCTCCCCAGCCGTTTTCAGAGGAAAACTATTTAAGATCATCCAGGCTATCACAAACCCTGTCAATACACCAGCGGATGTAGATCTCCAATTGATGGGCTGAGAATACCTGAGAAGCAACCGCATTGTCATTTTGCCGGGTGTCATCATTTAGCTGGAGGCAGGGACCATAATTAACACTAATTGATAAATACCAAATACCAAACCTAAAAAATCCATCACCTAAAAATAATATGAATATATAATAATATTCTATAGGTCACTATGTCGGCCGGTCGTGGCGATATCTCCGCTGTTCCGCAAATTTTTGCTAAATTGTCTCGGGCAATGACGCCCAGACATCTTTATGCGTATATTTCATGCTTTGCCTGAGGCGGCAGGAGCGTTTTGTGAGGTTTTTCATGTCAACCCTGGATCAATAAGCCGTGGTTGGTTGGGGTTGTGCGCCCCAGTGGTTCGTTCACTCGCGGCATTAGGGGGTCACGGTGGCCAAGGATGGTTCAGAACCCATTTCATCATGGTTTTTGAAAGGTTCACTCACCCAAAAATTACTGGTTTCGAAGCCCAAGAACCTGTACCTCCATCGCCTTCCAACAAAGTCTGCCTGAAGAATTTGTGTCTGGCTGATTCTGGCTGGGGATCTTGGGACAAAGAAATCCAAAAGAAGATAAAGAATTACCTCAGCCTTATACAACCCAAAAGCAGGTTCCAGGGTTCCGGTTCTGTTTCGGTTTTTGGGTTCCACCTCCAGCTGGGCAATCATTTTATTTTAATCAGCATCCTTGCCAAGACTGGAGTGTGAGGCCAATCACCCCAAGATGGGACCTTTGGAAAAGAAAGGACCCACATCATTTCCATCATATGGTTTCTGGATGTTTCTGGTAGTTTGTTTGTTGAGGGAATGGGATTCGTCAATCGGAATCACCTTCCACATGGACAGTTCAGCGAGAACGGCCCTATCCAATGCTGGGTTCACGACGTTTCGCACGAAGTAAATTATTGGGAAACCCCAACTTGGGTTGCGAACAGAAGCCTCACACCCTGGCACAAAAAAATCAACAGCCACCTAGAGTTGGGGATTCCCAGCCCCGATCACCACCCAGTTGCTCCAAGCTACCAAGCTACGCATGTTGAGTTTCTCCCCTTAGAGCAATGCTGGGCCGGGACAGAAAGGGAAAATGCTGGTTTTGGGCTCATCATATTTCTTTGCCCCTCTCTCTCTCTCTCTCCTATTTGTGTGTGAATATTTTTTGAATCTCATTGCACCCACTGTATTCACTGTATATTTAATATGGGAAAATCAATGAAAATCATGGAAAACCCATTATGACTTCATCATGGTGAGGAACATCACCTGTATAACCTGCATCTGAACCTTTGGGTACAAGTAACATGGGACTTAAACCTGGAATCTACCGGAAAAACATACATCACCCCGCCAAAAAAATACGAAGTTTATCACAATTTCAATCCATTTCTAATACCTGAGAAGGATGTAACGAAAACCAGCTCCAACCCCGGTGATGGGAAATGAACAATGGAAAAAAACTACTATAGTAGCAAACTAATAAAGAAAGAAAAACATCACCCACAGACTTCTCACCCACACGCTTCTCACTCACAGGCTTCTCACCCACAGAATCCTCATCCACAAACTTCTCACCCACAGACTTCTCCTCCGATCCCTACCCCACAGAATTCTCACCCACAGCGCCACAGAGTTCTCACCTACAGAGTTCTTAAAGGCAAACTTCTCACCCAGAGACTTCTCACCCCACAGAATTCGGCCTCCTGACCCACAAACTTCTCACCCACAGGCTTCTCACCCACAGAATTCTCACCCACAGAACTCTTTCCCATAGACTTCTCACCCACAGATGTCTCACCCACAGGCTTCTCACCCACAAAACTCTTCCCCATAGACTTCTCACCCAGAGACTTCTCACCCACAGATCCCTCACCCACAGAATTCTCACCCACAGATGTCTCACCCACAGAATTCTCACCCACAGAACTCTTCCCCACAGACTTCTCACCCACAGAGTTCTCACCCACAGAACTCTTCCCCACAGAATTCTCACCCACAGATGTCTCACCCACAGACTTCTCACCCACAGATCCCTCACCCATAGATGTCTCACCCACAGACTTCTCACCCACAGAATTCTCACCCACAGGCTTCTCACCCACAGAATTCTCACCCACAAAACTCTTCCCCATAGACTTCTTACCCACAGACTTCTTACCGACAGACTTCTCACCCACAGACTGACTTCTCACCCACAGATCCCTCACCCACAGAATTCTCACCCACAGAGGTCTCATCCACAGAATTCTCACCCACAGAACTCTTCCCCACAGACTTCTCACCCACAGATGTCTCACCCACAGACCTCTCACCCACAGATCCCTCACCCACAGAATTCTCACCCACAGGCTTCTCACCCGCCACTCCACCATTGCTTCCACCATCCCTTCCAGCTTCCCTTGCAGCCTCCATGGCCTTTTCCCATCCAGCCAAACATAGTATACCTGTCGGTGTCTGGCTTGAAGGTCCTCAAAACAAGGGCCCTGGTAAAGTTGGGGCCAGGTTTCACAGCAACATGTTCTTCCAGAACAGCTTGCTGTCCTAAGCTCTGTTGCCTCTGCAGGTGGCAGGGCCCTTTGCATGTCAGCCCAGTTGGGCACCAAGACTCCTCTGTAAAACTCCATGGCTGGAAGTTTCATTCCATAGCCACACACCATGACTTTGAATGCCATTTGGCCCTTGGCCTTGTCCAGAGCCTGGTGCATCCATCACCCTGGGTTCCTGAGCCACATGGATGTGCATGCCCTTCTTTGGTGGCACCATTGCTGGGTGAGGCGAGGGGCCATCCCTGAGCAGCTAGATGCACACCTTTGATCTTCTGGCTTCCATCTGCTGGATATTGTCTCCTACCTCATCAGTGAGCAGCCTCACTGTAAAAGGTGAGCTGCAAACCTCAAGCCCTGGTGGAAAGCCAGGTTGTTTGGCTGCAGAGCCCCCAAATACCCAGCTATCAGCTAGCAAGGGCAAAGACACTGGCAGGAAGGGCACGCACAAATAATCCAAATCCATTGCAGTCTTGATGCTTGGCCAGTCAAGCTTCCCCAGACTGATGGGCTCACTGGGCCCAGGGGTTGAAATATAATCAGCCCATCCTGCTGGCTGATGTTGCTTGTTCTTGAGCCTCTTTGGTAGAGAGCCCCCTGGTGCCACCTCATCTTCATTGGACCTCTTGCTGCCCACTGCTCCATGGGGGGCCCTGACACCTGCAGGCTCCCTCCACCTGCTGTCCCCTGGGGTACATGGGGTTGGCCATAGCTAGCAGGAGACAAAAACTTACAAACACTTGAGCTTGGAAATGGCTACACACATTTGAATCCTTCCACAAAACTAGCACAAGTAGCTGCAGAACAAAGACTCACCAATGCACTTGACAAACTTTGAGCCCCAGCTCTGTAAAACCTAGCTTTGAAAAGCCGCCTTGTTTCCAATCAAACTTCCCTGGAATGGATTGCATAGCATGTTGTTGCACATGGAGCCCTTTGAATTCTAAAATTTCACACACCAGCTTCTCTAAGGCAACTTGTTTGACATGCCAAAAGATCCCCTAGGCAGCTGCACAAAAAAGCACACCAATGCACTTGAAATCTTTGAGGAAATTTGTGAAAAGTTTGTAGTACAAAGCAGTATTGCGAGGAACTTTGTGAAAAGCTTGTAGTACAAAGTAGTAGTGGGAGGAAATTTGTGAAAAGATTGTAGTACAAAGTAGTATTGGGAGGAAATTTGTGAAAAGTTTGTAGTACAAAGCAGTATTGCGAGGAAATTTGTGAAAAGTGTGTAGTACAAAATACGGAGGAGATTTGTGAAAAGTTTGTAGTACAAAGTAGTATTGGAAGGAAATTCGTGAACAGTTTGTTAGTAGTACAAAAAGAACTCTGTCACCCACAGACCTCTTCCCCACAGACTTCTCACCCACAAATGTCTCACCCACAGACTTCTCACCCACAGATCCCTCACCCACAGATCCCTCACCCACAGATGTCTCACCCACAGGCTTCTCATTCTCACACATAGACTTCTCACCCACAGGCTTCTCACCCACAGAACTCTTCCCCACAGACTTCTCACCCACAAATGTCTCACCCACAGATGTCTCACCCACAGACTTCTCACCCACAGGCTTCTCACCCACAGACCTCTTCCCCACAGAATTCTCACCCACAGAACTCTTCCCCACAGGCTCCTCACCCACAGACTTCTCACCCACAGATCCCTCACCCACAGATGTCTCACCCACAGGCTTCTCATTCTCACACATAGACTTCTCACCCACAGGCTTCTCACCCACAGAACTCTTCCCCACAGACTTCTCACCCACAAATGTCTCACCCACAGACTTCTCACCCACAGAATTCTCACCCACAGACTCCTCACCCACAGGCTTCTCACCCACAGAACTCTTCCCCACAGACTTCTCACCCACAGATGTCTCACCCACAGACTTCTCACCCACAGATCCCTCACCCACAGATGTCTCACCCACAGACTTCTCACCCACAGAATTCTCACCCACAGACTTCTCACCCACAGACTCCTCACCCACAGGCTTCTCACCCACAGAACTCTTCCCCACAGACTTCTCACCCACAGACTTCTCACCCACAGAATTCTCACCCACAGATCCCTCACCCACAGATGTCTCACCCACAGACTTCTCACCCACAGAATTCTCACCCACAGACTTCTCACCCACAGGTTTCTCACCCACAGACTTCTCACCCACAGACTTCTCACCCACAGATGTCTCACCCACAGACTTCTCACCCACAAATGTCTCACCCACAGACTTCTCACCCACAGAATTCTCACCCACAGGCTTCTCACCAACAGAATTCTCACCCACTGAACTCTCACCCACAGAATTCTCACCCACAGAACTCTTCCCCACAGACCTCTCACCCACAGATCCCTCACCCACAAATGTCTCACCCACAGACTTCTCACCCACAGAATTCTCACCCACAGACTCCTCACCCACAGGCTTCTCACCCACAGAACTCTTCCCCACAGACTTCTCACCCACAGATGTCTCACCCACAGACTTCTCACCCACAGATCCCTCACCCACAAATGTCTCACCCACAGACTTCTCACCCACAGAATTCTCACCCACAGACTTCTCACCCACAGATCCCCCACCCACAGAACTCTTCCCCACAGACTTCTCACCCACAGGTTTCTCACCCACAGAACTCTTCCCCACAGACTTCTCACCCACAGATGTCTCACCCACAGACTTCTCACCCACAGATGTCTCACCCACAGACTTCTCACCCACAGATGTCTCACCCACAGACTTCTCACCCACAGATTTCTCACCCACAGATCCCTCACCCACAGACTTCTCACCCACAGGCTTCTCACCCACAGAACTCTTCCCCATAGACTTCTCACCCACAAATGTCTCACCCACAGACTTCTCACCCACCCACCTACTTTTTAACCACATACTTCTCGCATATAATTGTTCTTCTCACGCATATACTTCTTACCCACAGCTTCTCACCCACGGAATCCTGACCCACAGATTTGTCAGCTACACACTCTTCATCCACAGACTCCTCACCAATAAACTTGTTACTCACGGAATTTCCGCCCGCAAAGTTTTCAGCAACTCACAGAATTCTTATCAACACACTTCTTCCCCAGACACTTTTCACCCAGAGACTTTTCACCTACTTAATTTTTCGCCCGCAGATTCATCACGTACAGGCTCTCAACGCACAGACTTGTCCCCGAGGGACTTCTCGCCCACAGACTTTGAAACAAGTTACTTCTGACCTATAGACTTTTCACGCAACAAGTTTTCACGCCAGTGACTCCTCACCCGGAGACTCCACCCACAGACTTACAAGAGACCTAAAATCATCGTTTTTGTGTATCTTAATGGTTGAAGCCTTGTTTACGACCCCATGAGCCCGACCAGGGGGGAATCAAGTCAATTTCCATCACCCCCTGTTGCTGGTCATGAAACATTGCAATTTGAAATGTTTTCTTTATTATACCCAAATTATCAAACAAAGACACACACACACATGCACACATACATATTACATATGTATTTCATATATATATAATTACATATCTAATTGTCTATATCATTATATATCCTTCTCAGAAAACGCAAAAAACATGGGAAACGAGAAACATCTGGCATATCTGGCATTTTCCAGCGAATGAAATCTGGGTAAATCCATTGCCCAAGCGACTCGCGCCTCGCGACTATCGTGGACTGATCAAACTCCGAAAGACTGCCTGAAAGACGAAGGGATGGGCGGCCCATGAATTGTCGCCGTATTCAATGTATTGAAGGAAACGAAAATGCTGGAAAGCATCGTTTTTTAGCCCCAAATAATAGAAAAGGGATTTCCGAAGTAGATTTTCCATGATTTCCCTTCAAGTCTGGGAAGCATTGGTGTCCACCAGAACAATGAAAAAAAAAAGGCCATGGTCCTCCACGGAGAGCCAAGGGGCCAAAGCGCGTTGCCGATGCTTGGGCACCCCAGGTGCTGGGCTGTTGGGTGCCACAGGGGTTAGGGCCGGTGGGCTCGAGCCTCAAACGCCCAGGGATGGGTGGTCCACACCCGGAGTTCGGAAACCATGGGGATTTAAGATGATTTAACAATCTAACATGGTGACTTTATGTGCTTTTTGATGGTTGTATGAGCTATGATGATCTGTTAATTATCTGTTAATTTGATGTAATTTGTTGCAGCTTGCTATGGACAATCACCATTTTCGGAGGTACATCATTGAACTTCATGGGCGATGACTTCCATCGCTATGTTGGTTTACCCGTATGTTAGCCATAGGACCCCTAGTGATCATATCCATTCATATGGCCGTAGTTGGAGTCATGGTAATATGGACCCCAGGAGGTCACCTTTTTTTCACACCGTCGCGTCAACCGTCGCGTCAACGGTCGCCAAGGGGCTAGGCGCCACAGCATGGATCACCTTAACCAGGGGTGCATCTGCTGGCGGCTTTGGCAGCTCCTGGAGATGGCAACCAGTTCTGGCCAAAGAAAGGAGGACAACGACCATTTTTATGGCCATATTATATCATATTATGGTCAATCTTATGATCATAGAGGACGAACGATTCTTCCGTAGATCCATTACCCAAACATTTTTTTGACCATAAATTGATGCTTCACCCCACTGGATCTAAGTGCTTAGGAATCGTGGGTGTAATCAGCCACTTAAAAATGGAATGACCCAACTGCAAGGGCTGGGATTCACCTAAACATGGCTAGCCGGCTAGCCTCAGCTATCCAGTAATTAGAGGTTCTTTGTGGTGAGCCAAAATGCAAACCATTCCCAGGTGTGGGGATTTGTCATTGGGTTCGCCATATGTTTCAATTTTCATTCATGACTTCATGATAGATGTGAATCATGATCTTCCTCCATATGTTTCCATTAATCCACTCCCACCTACTTAGAAATGGGCCATGGAGTTACTTGACCGGTAGATGACCGGCTTATCTCTCCTTATAGTTGGATGTTTGGGTTATTTCACCAACTGCGATCATCAGTTACAAAACTAGCCGTGCTCCTTCTAGGTGCTTTCATTGACAAAAACCACCAGTATGTACCCATCATATCCCTTTCTACCACCATTTTTCTTGCTTCCCTATTGTCCTGCCCAAAAAAAGTCCCACTCAATGAACATTAAGGAGCCATGTTCATTTTTTTCCTTTGCTCTTTGACCAGTGTATCACTCAGTGTATTCACCAAGAACAACTGGGCTTCAGATTCGCGCCAAGGGACATTGGAGTGGGACCTCTTTGCATCGTCGATCACCTGCTGGAGCGCTCACGCTGGTCGTGGAGAAAATTCGGGGAAGCGATGGGAACCGGGAAAGGCTATGAAGAGGTCATGGGATTTAATGGGATTTCCGAACAGCCATGGGAATACGAATACTCATAGGAATATAGATATGGCATGATCGGGATATATGAAGATCTCTTAGATTTGCTTAAGGGGGGCCATTAAGCAATGTAGAAGAATCCAAGTAGATTCCCCGGACCGTTGAACTGACCAATTGAAAATGAACAATTAAATACAATTAATTTCACCAAATCAAGGTGGTAAAGCCGTACAGGGCCAAAGTATCACTGCTGGTTTGTTTCAACTCCCTGAGTAGGGAACGTTGGGTATCATCATCCTATTTCGATGGTTGAACATGGGAAAAAATGAACAAACCAACTAAATATATCCTTTAGGGAGAACGACTAGCCAACCAGTTCCTAGCATTTTGCATATCATTTTGCATCGGTTGCACTGGCACAAGATGGCTGGACCCCCAGAACAAGGCACTTTGTCCTGGAGTTTGTAGCTTTTGGGGGCTGGAAAGGCCCCAATTTGAAAGGCTTCAGTGGGCGCATAGACTACCGATACTTCATGACACTTCTGACATTTGCCTACTCGTCGTTGGAATGACATGATCCCGTTCACAGTTTATTTGGGCTTTGCTGGGTTTGGGATAGTGGGGGGGATCCTGAGGGGACTTGAAGTGGAAATGCATTGGGGTTGAGTTCAAGGTACTGAAACAGCTGCTCAAGTAGGTCCCCGAGATTTGGGTCGCCATGGAAAACGCCCATCTATGGCTATCTTAATGGGAACATTACATTCCAAACATTTCCAAACAATGTTTTTCGGGGTTCCAAACTCAATGGCCTCGTCCTCGCGAACCGAGTCGGATGGGTCGTAGCGAATGCTCATGCGCACATCATGCTCCTGGTCCACGTTGCCAAGAAACTCGTGGGAGTCCTGCAGATGGGATGAACATTTCGTTCGTTTCAGGTGTTTTGCTTCCAGGAAACCAATGTTCTTTAACATTCTTTCATCGTTAACCATTGGGGTCTCTTGTGCTTTTACCATCTTTTACCATTATTCTTGGTATTGGCTCCGTGCGAACTTTTTGCATTTACATGCATTTACCATCCAAGATTGCTGTGCTGTTTGCCTTGTTCGGTTGTTTACTGGGCTGTGATCCCCGCTGGGGCTAGTGTGCGCCTCCCGCCATCGCTTGGCTGGACAACCAAATACAACCAACAAAAGGGCCTCAAAACTAGAAATTCATATACAGCTGCAGATGGTGCGTGCTGGGGTGTCTTTCAGCAACCAAACCTGGAAGAACCACTGCAAAAAAGTGAGCCCAGAATATCATCGGACTTTAGGGGGAAACAACACCAAACCTACCATAAGATTCATGGGAATGCGGTTGATATCACCATTTCTTGCCGAAAATTCAGCACTTTCAAGCAGTTGCTTGCTGGTCGCGTTGTCTCCACATGTGGGTTTGTCACGTGCCCAAAGTGTCCCATCGAACTACTGAGTCGAGGGGGGTCCTTTCTGCCTTCCGATGATTGCAACCTCTCATCTTCCTCTAGGATTGGCGCCTTAGCTGCCGGTCTCGGTGACGGCTCCCTGCAATGATGGTCCTTATCACAAATATATTTCCATCCCCCAATCATATTGAATAATTAACTTTAAATAACTACAACATATATAAATGATAATATATATATATATATCATTTCATACACCTTTTCAGGGACCTCCAAATCAACGAATCCAAGATAATTCCACCAGAGTTTCGATTTGGGGCTTGCCGGAAGGGATTTCTTATATTATATATAATTATACATATATAGTTATATATATAATTATATACAATTATATATAATAATATAATAATATATATATATATATTTGATCCTGTGGCCGATACTTTGGTAGCTGGTCACAACAATTGTACTGGTACGTGCTTTTCAATTTTCATACCTATCACCAGGCCCCATGAGGCCCAGCCATGGCCATGGCTTTCTGGTGGCGATCCCTTTTCGGACGTCCACGTGAAATTTTATGAAATTTTGGACCAGGCATTGTTTTCCGAGAAATAACATGGGAAAACAACGGTAAATGGTGTAAAATGGTTTCTTCAACGCATCCATTGATATAGCGATTTGTGCTCAGAAATGAGGAATTTAGCTTCAAGTAATAGGGCTGTTTCAAATACATAGGGCTAGGGGCAAACATGATGTGTAATGGTCCCTTCCCCCTTAAACTAAATACCTCCCAATCGGGACCTAGAATGTATTGGATGCATTTCATTTCAGATTCCCAAGAATGTTGAGTATTTAAGAAAGAAATGGGGGATCAAATTAACTAATGTGCTCAGCCTTTATCCTCGGGATTCAACCATGGCAATCGAAAAACCAATCCTGTTTAGTTCGATGTCCGATTTCAATACCATCCAGTAATCAAAGATGGCAATGGAACATCCCTATCATCCCTTTACAGTAGTTCAATGATTCTCTCAGTAAAAGCTCAAGTTAAGACCAGCCATTTCCCAGCGATTTGATTTCTGAAGGGCAGTGTTTCTTCCAGGCGCCAGGCGAACCGCCACGGCACATGTTTGGGAGAGCCCTTTCCTTCCTCGGGCGGACGCTCCGCAGATTCCACGGTGCCAGAGGGGGATGCCTTCTTCTTCGACTGCTTTGAACCTTGGTTTTGGAAGGAAAAGAACAGATGGGGCCGGCTTGGATACCATGACATTTTATCATTAGTCATCATTTACCTGGGATGATGCGTCTATTCATCAACCAATGGAAGAATGGAAGAAGGACATCTATGGCTGTGGCTTGGTTTTGAAGATTGAAGTCACAGAAACTGGATGAAATTGGGATATACAGTATATGATATACACCTAGAAAATTATGTTGTAGGGTTTCAATAATTGTTCACCACCTGTTCAGTTCTGCCTCAAATTTGGGGATAGCCTGCAAGAGTGAAAGATTTAAGAAACGAATATGGAATTAAACCCCACCGAAATTTATATTTATATATATTTATTTACGACATATTTTAGATCCAAAACTCAACCAACAGCGGGATTCAAACCAATAAACTTCGTGATTCAGATTTAACCAGATCCGATAGGATGGTCGATTCAGCGGCCAAATTTTCACCTTTTTGTGTTGAATTGTGGTATAGGCACGTTGACGAAAACATGCTGACCATGGAAACGGTAACGTAAGTGTCTGCAAAAAATCAACACTCCTTTCATATAGCTAGACGTTTCCCACAATTTATCAGCAAAAAATCACCAATGAACTGTTCCCCTACCAAACTAAGGAATACCAAAACTATGTGTATATCTATATGTAAATATGTATATATATATACATATACAAATATACATATATGTATAATATATGTAGAGATATATGTATATAATCCTAATCGAGGGATTGGGTGGTGATGCTGTTTTTGCCTTTTTGGCCTCTTGTGATGGTGCCCGCTTTACTCCACTTTCAGATGATCATGGCCATGGAAAACACTGGAGAACCCTCCATTTATTGCAAGGTGAAATGAGCGGCTTTGTAATGGGAACATCATCCATGACGGAATCCTTTTTTCTTTGATCGCCAGAGCAGACTACCACAGTGGAAATTCAAACTCCTGAAATATTGGCCCATGCCTTCCCCACAGTTAGTCTGAGAACAGGCTACACTTTTGCCGGTTCGTCTCTCCAGAATTGCCATGAGCAAATTCCCCAATTCTGGGACAACTTCGACATACTTCGACAATCATCTTGTTCTTCAAGTTCCCTAGTAATATCCATGCACATCCCCAGTATATTGGTCATCTGCTGCAAAGGCACCCGATCTGAATTCAATGCTCTCAGATCCCAGCGCCTTTGCCAAAAAACAGGAACAAACGTGGGAGCAGCTTATCACTATTGCACTTCACCTGTTTCCAGTTTCTTGCAACACGACCCAAATCCTCAAGTTGTTCGCTTTCTTGCCTCAGAAATCTTAGGTAGATCCCTCTGAAGGTGGGGTTTCATGAACAAGGCAGGACATCTATATAGATACTGAAACCCTTTAGAACAGAACCTTTCCAAGCCTAAGTCGCATAAGTCATGCTTGGGAATTCCATGTTGGTTCTTTCAGTTCAGTTGCTTCACTACATGTGGCATCTTTGCGCCACGGCGAGGTGGTGTTGTGAAGGTACGGCCAACAGCATGATCTATGGTTACTTTGGCGTTCTTAGTCTAAGTAGGCACTCTAGATCTATCATAATATGAACGAATGTATGTAATATATATATAGACATTATACCTATAGCAATGTAGCCTATATCTATATTATATAGGTATCATTCTCCTGTGATCACAAAACAACTCTACAGATCTGCAGCCAGGGCACGGTGGACTGCTCGGTGCCTAACAGGGCGACACAACGGCCATGGTTTGGCCATGGATCAACGAAAACATATAGAACAACATAGAAAAACATGACATGGTTGAACCAACACAACTGAGATTTTTCAATTAATTGTATACTTTGTCAAACTTTAATGTTGGATGCCGATTCATGTCCTGGTACCCTATTGCGTTTTTTTTTCAAAATAAATCAGTATCCTGCCGTTTGTTAGGGGTGGGTCTCTATTGTTTTTTTACTCAGATCGATTTTTTTCAGGAGGAGCTTTGTCACCCTTTATACACCTTTCTGTAGGCAAAACTGGTCTATTTACTTTAGAAAACCATATCCATGTTAAAGCCTTGAAAATGCAAGGTTTCCCAAATAATTAGATGTCTTATTAAACCCTTATTTAAAAACAGCACCGAAACAATTTTTCGAGGGGGTACCCCATGAGTGACCGAGATCTTGAGTGACCGAGATCTTCAATAATGTAATTGCTTGGATGGTGCCCTATTCTGCACAAACACTTTTGGGGTGATTGTTTTTTAGAATTACAAGCAAAATCAATTAAAAGTAGATTCTGTATTTTCAGGTTTCAGCTGGGGTAATTCCTATTACACCCAAATGGACTGATAAACCTAAACAATGGGGAAACAACCGTTAAGCTAACGACTCAGCAGCACCTTTTCCGTCTGAGCCGCAATGCTGTAGTAACATGCTAGTATACATGTGTGTTTTATGTGAGGTGCTTTTACACCCCCCTCAGGTGAGCCGGTTACGGCGAGGATGCCACATTTACCAGGGCGAGGTCTTTAAGACCTGCCTCACCGAACTGGCTCTTCGCAAACCCAAGGGAAAACACACTCAGCGGCTATTATACAAAAACCGATCGTCGATGCAAGCAGTTTCACAACTTATCCCTCTTCCCACTCAACACGGCCATGCCTGATGACTTTCTCGTACCAGCGCCCATGCCACTTCTGCCATTCTCCAGTGTAACGGCGATCATCGTGGGACTGACTTTGCTGAGGGCGGTTGATCCACTGACTTGCAGACGTTGATGATGAAGCTACCTCTACGGTGGATGGTCGGGCAACCGGTTTGGCGGTGCCTTTCTTGGAGGGACCTTGGCCATACGCTCCAGTCTGCTCAGCTTTGCGCTTGGCCTCGTTCTGCTCGCGAGCCCTGTCAGACTGCTTCTTCTTCTCTGCAGCGTTCTGCTTGTACAGCTCCTCGTTTTGTCCCTTGATCCACTTCAAATGACGTTCAGCATCGTGAACAGCAATGTTGTCAACACCTGAACAGCAATGTTGTCAACACCGGTACAAGACAACAAAAGATTGTGTCCAGGATTCCGGTTGAGGTAGTCAATGTACTCTTCCTCGGAGTAGATTTCCGTACGGTACATGTAGAACCATGGTTGGTCGATGTACCTGAACGATTTCGGGACATCAAGACGGCTTGCCAAATCCAAGTAAACCAGCCTCATCGCGTTGTGCTCCAGCTGAGATTGCTCAGAAACACCCATCTTGACCTGAGCTTTGGTGCGACCCGGCTTTGGCAAATGTGCAGACTTGAGGAGGTCGTACCGTTCACAGTCGTACTCGTTCTCCCCCTCGTTCAGCACGCTCTCTGCGAATGTGGCGTCCTGGGCAAACCTGTCAGCCACAGACACATAGCCTAAGCTCAAGGCACGGTCGAATCGACTCTTCGCCCTTGCCAACAAACTGGCTTCCGGACTTGAGCTTCCCCTTGCCTGGTCGTCCAACAAACCCAAAGATTCAAGCTGACTGTGTGTGATGCTCTGCAGGTACTCACCACGAAAATCATAGTACAAGCCCAGCTTGTGAAGGGCGGCCTTCCTACGTTCTGCAATCTTGGTTCGGTCGGCCTTGTTCACCCCTTCGAGCATCAATCCACACACATCGCATTCAATCTGTCCCTTGAAAGTCTGTGCAAAACATCTTGAACATTGCATGACTTCAATCTTGACTGGCACCGGCTTCTTGTCCTCCTTCTTCACCTCTTTCTTCGAAGGTTGGTCATCGCCTTTAGGGCGAGACTTCTGCTTTGGCACCAGTGACTTGGATGTTGATGCCGGCGTCTTTTTGGGTGACTCTGCAACTGGAGCTTTTGGATCTTTTTGTACTGCCTTCGGCGGTGCAACTTTTGAAACGGGCTCCAAGAAGGCCGCAGCTGATGATGCCGCAGGCACAGCTGCGGGCACGCTTGTCAGGGCTGCCTTCTTCTTTGCAGGTTCATCCTTTGCTGCTGCATCAACTTCTGAGGTCACGGCTTTTGGAACTTCTGGTGCATGAGGTGCAGAAGTCCCTTCCTTCGGTGATGGTTTTGGAGGCGCTTTCGGCGGTGTCTTTGGGCTTTCAACCTTTGCTGCAGGAGGCTTTGGAGCTTCACCCTTCGGAGGAGGGGGCAACAATCTGCTGCTTGCATATCCAGGCATACCGGCAAGTTGGGCCACATTTGGTGGCGGAGGCTTCACCTTTCCTGGGAAAAATGCTGTTGCAGTGGGCGCGCCAGTTGAGGCGGCCGGAGACTTGGAACCAGTCCGTTTTGATGCCTTGGCCTCAAAGGTCTCGACAAGCTCCTGGACTCCAACTTCTCCTCCACTGCTTGCTGCAGACTGTGCGACCTCCTGATGGCGGCGATACAAATTCACCTTCTTGGCAGTGTCATCGACAGAGATAATGTATTGAGGCGGTACGACGTCACTTGTCAAAATGCCGTCAGAGGCCGTCCTGAAAAACACAATGCCAGCTTTGACAGCTTCAGCCATTGCTACCCTGATTTCAATGGGTCGTTCAGCACGCAAACCACTCACATACTCTTTCTCATCGACACGCACGGCTCTGCCTGATGAATTTCGATCTCCTCCTCCAGGAACGAAGCCATTCTCAATGATGCCCTTCCAATTGCCTTTTGTAGTCCTGTGATAAACTACGCCAGGGCACATCTGAGGAGTGGTAATCTTTTTACCTTTGGCGTTCATTTTCTGGATCGCTGCTGCTCCAGACAGAGCATAGATTTCCACTGCATTGAACGTGTCCTCAGCCGAGGCGGCATCCATGGCACGTTTTGTGTGCCCCTGCACTGCACGGATCCTGATGGGCCAGTAGGCTAACCCTTTACGGGTTGCCTTCTGGTACCCGGCAATGCACTGCAACTCAAAACGGCACTTGTTGTCCCAGTAAAGAAGGGAGATGAGCTCTTCAACCGTCATCCGAGGCAACTTGGCTGGCAGCATTTGATTGAACATTCGAAAGAAGTCATCAAGATCAAGCCACATGTTTTCATCAAATCCAGAGGTGTCCTGACCCGGCTGTCCACGCGTCACTGCATTGACCTTGGTTTTGTGTCGGTCCATGCGATCTGGGTACCTCAGCTCCTTTGCCCCATCCATCTCCCAACAGGTTTTGACAATCAATTCGTAGGGATGGGCATCAACGACACAATGTTCAACTACTTCTGCATTGATGTTTTCGTCCAAGGTGATACGATATTTGTCAAGGTGCCCAAGTGCATGTTTCGGAATGATGGTACCCTTGATCTCGTTTTCCTGCAGGGGCTCACCAGTTGAGGTGGCCTGAGTTGAATCCTCCTGTGTCGCTGGAGCTTTCGCCTTGGGGTCAGGTGGAGCTGCGTGGCTGGCCTTGGCCTTGCCAACCGATGGGCCCTCATGCTCGTCGGGATCCAGAGCATCCCATGGGTCGCCTTCTTCATCATCATCTTCGGCGACACCAGCATCAGTCGGGCGAGCCCTCAACTCCTCTGCTGTGAAGCTTTCTGGGGTCGAGACGCTCGGTGCAGATTTGTTCGTCTTCTCACGGAGAGCATTGAGGACCTGCACAAACCTGACTGGGAGGTGCTCCATCTTTGGTGTGACATCACGCATTGTAGCCTCTCCTGCAGGGCGCCTACGCTTGTACAAAGACAGGTTGTACTGAGGAATCAAGATGTCCGTCATGTGCAACATGTGGAGAGTTGCCATGACATATCCGATCATTTCACTTCGGTTGAGCTCGGTCTCGAATGCGTGAAAGTAGTCCCTGAGCTCAAGCCTCGGTGGAAGCATGTCATTCTGGATCCACCGAATTCGATCGTTGTCACTGGCAATCTCCTTGTGGAACCATTCCTTCAGTCGATCAACAAACGTGGTGAAGATGAGACTCAATCCATAAGTGAGCGGGTCGGGCTCGCCGATTAGGGCGGCCTGATCCACGCCCAATTCCTTGAGCTGATTGTTCCACCAAACGATGTTGCCTTTGACCCTGTCCATGATGGCATTCCAGTCGCCCTGTGGTTCCCTCTGTCCCCAAATGGGAAGGGGTTCAACACCATATTCCCCGCAAATTTCATTCCCAGACCAAAAGATTACCGAAATAACCCTGATGACTGATCCATGAGAAGAATATTTCGCCATCAGCTCCTTGATCATGGAAACATTTGCTTTGCAGAGCTGTTGCAAATCCTTACCCCAGAGCATGTCATGACCGATTTCGAGAACCATGTCCGACTTTCGCAATCCCAGATCCTCCTTCAAGGTGTACTTCTTCAAAGTCTTACCCTTTCCAGTGATCAGAGCCAAAGTTGAATCGGAAGTCACCACATAGATGGTGGGCACGACGTCTACCGCCGGCCTTGATGTCCCAGGGACGTACTCAGTAGGCAAGCTCAGATCCCACAGCGAGTCATGCTCGAGCTCGGACAGATGGCGGATCTCCTTTGCCCACGGCACATTCATCAGGGCGTCAGTTGCCATGGATTGCGCAGTGAAACATTGCATGAATCCTGCGGCCAACTCAAGGTCTTCTGTCCTGTTGCCCTGTGCAAGGATGGTTGACGAAGCAAGGACCGTAGAAAAGATGTCCTCCCACCCTGCATGCCTATCCCCCTGAACATCAAGGCACTTCCGAAAAGCAAGCCACTCCGACATGTTGCTTTGTTGGGGCACGGTCTTTAAACCGGCCGACTTGAGAGCCCGCACGTTCATCTTTTCATTGAT